AATTTGTGAAATTTTCTTACTCCATGAAAGGGCTATTTCTGTGCATTTTGTGCAAAGCTCATTTAAGAACATCTTTTTACAAATAATGTTTTAATTAATTTTTAAATAGTTAATTCTTTGAAAATATAAATTTATAGGTGATGGAAGTGCATGGAGTGCATGATATTTAATTAAATACAGTATGTAAGAGAAACATCTACGAAAGTCGATAAACATGTATTGACACTATTTGGTCAATTATTTTTTACGATTTAAATTATCTTCTTTTTTAAAAAAATTTCTAAATTAGGCATAAATAATATGACCACTGAGATAAAAATAACTGCATATTGGGTAAATAATGCAGTTCAAATGTGATGCAAGAAGCATATTTTATTATGTTTCGCAACGATGGAAGTTTGATCATTGGATTGAAAGCGTCAAGTTTAGACGAAGGTTGTGAAGTCATGCCAGAGCTTGCGTGTTCATTCCTGTAGTTGGCCATGGTGAGACAGACCATCAGGAAAAGTACAGAGATGTGTTTATAGGCACTGTCATCACTAGGCAGTTACAGATAAATTAAACAACAGTGATAGATATGTGTTAATCTTAAACAATACTTATTCTCCTAATGGCACTTGCATTTAGCAAAATTATGATGAGCTAAGTTTGCTGTATACATTATTCATAAAACCAGCACGATTTTTTGTAAGATCCAGTTTATTGCCCTAAGTTGTTTTCTTTACTCTGTAGGCTTTGCGCTGATTGTGATATCTTGTTAATGATGAGTGAGTAATGTTGGAAGCGAAATGCCGTTAATGAACTTTAAATGCCTATAAAATTGTCTTTCCTCCTGAAGTTATAATAATTTTTAATATAAATTAAGAAGAATTACTTGTCGAATTAATTAGATATAAAGAATATTAAGTTTAAAATGTTTTTGATCTAACCAATGGTATTAGTAAATTATATGTATTTAAAGTTCTACGATTAATTTATCAAAATAAAATGCTTTTGCCATAATTATTCATTGTTGAATTTATATTAATAAGCAAGTGAAATTAAAATCCAAAATATTAAATTGATACTGTCATGAAAATTTCATGTGACTGAAATTACAATAGGAAACATTCTTTTTTTAATTTTCTGAAACTTAAATATTTCACAATGAAATGCTCTATTCCACAATTTATCATCAAAATTTTCATTGGTACATTTTTTTAAAACATTGCTCTAACTTTGAGATGCAGCCTGTGTATTTACACAACTGTTCAATCAATATAAATAAACTTTTATAATGGATAAACTTAACATTTTAGTTGTGAATAATTGACCATTTAGTGTTACATTGTTAAGGGTTTATGATTACATAGTCTTCAATTAATATTACACTTTTCAAATGAAATGTTTTCAGTCAGAGCTTATGCATTTAATGAATTGCTGCAATTAAACAAATACTTATATTTTATGGTGCATAATTAATCATTTTATATTATATTGTTGAAGTTTTATTACTTTTGATGTATTTTCACTAGTATCATTATTTTTCAAATTAAAAGAAAAAAGTTTACTTATGTTCATAATATGTGGTAAAGAAGCTTTTACAGTAGTAACTTAATATCTTTGAAATGATATAGCTATTTTGCAAAGCTGTCTCTGAGATTTAACAGAAGAAAATGTGATAATTCTGTTATAATCAGAAACGCTTTTTTTTTTTAACCCACATATATAGATTTACTTTTATTTATGTCTGATTGAGTTTTATTTACTTAAAACCTACTATTATTGTTATATATTTATAATAACCACTTTCATAATTACTCTCACTTGCATACTAAAGGATTAAGGGGGAAAAAATTATGAAATCTTAAATAACCGTAACTTGGAATTGAAGTTATTTAAAAAATATACTTTAATGTATTGAAAATAATTAAGACTATTAATTAATTATGCATATTTATTCTAAAGAGAAAAAATTGTATTATCGTCTGGTTTTCAGGAAATGATAAAATATTTAAACTTCAGATAAATACAAGGAATACAAAAATTTTAAAAAGTAGAAAAATATATTAATTATTAATCTTATATTTTCTGCATAAAACAATATGTAACACAAGGACACAATAATGACATTTTCACAACTGTTAAGAAAAGGTGGAATTTTGCGAACATTTAGGCATCTTTAAAACATGATACGATGCTTTCACAACCAAAATATCACCTGCGAAAGACGCACATAACGACGTCTCTGTGACAAAACCCTCATCTGCAAAGACGTAATAAAGACGTCTTTGCAACGGTTGCAAAACAGTGGACGTTTGCGGGCATCTTAAAGACAATATATTGCTAAGTTTTTGCAACGACATCTGCGACGAGTTTGCAACGTCGTTATGAGGTTGCTGTGCTACTTGGACTATGATTTACTTTCTTATACAAATTCTAATGAAGAGAGTAGTAAGAAAATCAACTGAACTATAAAAAAAGAAATTTAAAAATAAAGGGAAAACATTTGATATTCAGGTAAAAATTTTACCAGCAAAATCTCAGTAAACATGCCAAAATGTTAAAAAATGCAGAAATATGCACCATAATAAAATTACTATTTATGATTAGTTCTATTTTATTTGTATTGTAAGATAGCTCTTTACATGGTTCTGTAACTATACTTCCTTTTAACAAAACAAAGCGAGATTAAATTCAAAATCCCCTAATAAAAAAATAAAGAAAATGAAATATGAACAAATACCATTTCTGCTTGAAAACAAGACCCCATTTATATTTCAGGATACATTTTGAGAGAAAAATGTAACCAAAATTTTGATGACATCACGCTTCCAATAGAGTTCTTTATTATTAGAATGAAAGGTAAGTTAGTCAATTAATTACAATAATTTACTACAGTATAGAAGGAAAAATCAGGTAAATTAATGATATATTACATATCTGTTTTCAGGCATACTGGTAACCAGTATAGTAGATGCAGTCCTAAATTCATATCACTCTAAATAGACGAAGCTATTATAATTAACATTAGTTATGCAGTTCGTGCAATTACCCATGTTGTTTGTTTAGGACTTAAGCAGGGTTGTTGTACTCTATATACATAGGCTGTTCAATAAGTAATAAGACTAGTTTTACTGCCGCGAAACCACACTCATCGAAATGTTAATTTCTGCGGCATAAAAAAGTTTGTTGTCTGTATTAACAAAAAAAAGCTACAGACAGATGGCGTGTACAGGCTCGTGTTCCTGAGTATCATGTGATTGAACTGAAGCGTGTTTCTAGGCACCTACAAGAAGCGGCCAGTTGTTGAAATGAAAATGTCAATAGAACAACGTTATGCAATTAAATTTTGTATTCATCAACAAAAGTCAGCATCAGAGACCTTTGACATGATACGTGAAGCTTTCAGCAATGAAGAATTAGCAAGAGCAAATGCATTTCGCTGGCATAAAGCTTTTAAGGAGGCAATGTGGAAGATCTTGAACGTGAGAGACAACCTTCAACGTCCATCACAGAGACAATGATTAACACAGCTGCAGTTTTAATCAATGAGGACAGCAGAATTACAGTATGTCAGCTGCATGCTCTTTTGAATATTTCTGTAGGAAGTGTTCACACAATCATAGCACAACATTTGCGACTAAAACATATTTGTGCGTGATGGATTTCGAAATTGTTGACACATGAGCAAATGCAGTATAGAGTGGGTGTGTGCACAGAATGGAAAGAAAGACTGGAACAGGAAGGCGACAATTTCTTAAAATGCATCATCACAACAGACAAAGCTTGTTTGTATCACTATGACCCAAAACCATGAAACAACAAAGTATTGAATGGAAGCATCTGTCTTTGCCTACTCCCAAGAAAGCAAAAAGTGTGAAATCGGCTGGTAAAGTTATGACCATAATTTTTTTTTATTATTATGAAGGAATTGTGTATTAACACACCATTGAACACGGTAATACCGTAAACAGTACGTACTATGCGAATGTCTTACGAGCAACGGTACAGCACGTTAAAAGGAAATGTCTATTGCATCATGACAATGCCCGACCACATATTGCTCGTTGTGTACAGGATGTTTTGCAGCAGAACAACGTAGAGATTTTACCGCAGCCTCCATACAGTCCTGATCTCGCATCATGCGATTTCTGACTGTTTCCTGAACTTAAGAAACCAGTATGAGGCAAACATTTTGCAAGCAACAAAGAATGTGTAAAGGCTGCAAGGGCAGTTTTGAAAAAGGTCTCAAAAAACGGACTTTTACATGCTTTTTAGAAGTGGACAAAACGTGGGGATAAACGAATTACGTGCCACAGTAGTTATTTTGAAAAAGACCATGTAAATGACGATGATTAAAGGTATTCTGTTTTTTTATTTTATAATTTTAGTCTTATTTAACAGCCTTCGTATATTCTGATTAAATTCCTTCCTTTTACTCTGAAATTTCATTTATTACAATACCCAATTATAATATAAGGTATTTTCTTCCTCCTTTCTACATTCCCTTATGGTGTAATGGTAGCACACTTGGTGCATATTCGAGAGGTCCATGTTCGAGTCCCAGTGAGGGCAATGCTCATTTTTCATGTCTTCTGCTTCAAAATAACCTTATGTTTCTACCAGTGGTGCCCAAACTAAAAGGTGGTGGATGATGATTCTTTAGAACCTGGATTTGATGATTAGATTCCCCTAACCCCCAGTTGTCCTTTAAAAGGGGTGTATATAAGGTTATTTCCTCCCTCCTTTCTGCATGCCTTTGCGGTGTTAATAGCATACTTGACATGTATTCGAGAGGTCCAGGTTTGAGTCTTGGCGAGAGCATTACGCATTTTTCACATCTACTTAAAATATCTTAATATTTCTACAATAAGACTCAACCACATTTTAGAATAAAAATATATAAAAAATTGGGGGTCTTACTTTCAATATATACAGTAAATAAATTTATGCATCAAAAATAAATAATAAGCATTTCAGGTATATCTACAAAGAGAGAGAGCTATTAGGGATCATACTTCATTATACGCTGTTTCTTCCATCAATATTTTTACAGAACCTGAAAAAGTAAACCTTATTATAAAATCATAATAAATAATAAATATGATAACAGCATTTGAATGTAATAATTATAATTCCAATTGAACAATTATGTTAAAAGTACATAAATATACTAAAATAAAAAATATATTCTTACCTGAAGGTGTTTTAATTGTGGCTTCATCAATTTCGAAGCTTGCTTTGCTATTGGCATCTGTAGTTATAAAATGACTAGAAGCGAAATATAAAATGGTTTTATATTTACAAAGGAATTTTATACAATATGATATTAAGAAACTAAAAGCACAGTTTACAAAAACATTTGGTTCTTTATTTGTAGTGGAAACAAACATTAGTTCTGATTTTAAAACAAAAGTGCAATGGCCATCCCATTAGTATGAAAAATCGATACTTCAAAACATTAAAAGAAAAAAAAAAAAAAAAAGGGTAACCAAAATTTTTTTAATTCTTTTAAGCAACATTAAACTCTGACAATTTAGCCACTTTTTAATAACGTTTACTTAAATCATCATACATCTTCTCCCTTACAAACTACAAAGAAAGAAAAAAATGTTTATTTTCAAATTTCAAACAAAATACAGTCAAACTTCATTTAATATGCACATCCCATAACAAGCGATTCACATAATGAGCATAACACAATTTTTAAAAAATGACTCCCTTCACAAGCGACTTTTCGTAGAACGAGTGACATGGAGACATTGTGGTGTCACATGCAGGATATTGCTTGCATCTTGGCTATGGGTCTGTTTAACATTCGTTCAGCTAGCATCTTACTGTTGCTTTTGAAAAATGTATTCAGACACCTCATTGTGTAATTTTTTAGTGCAAATTTTAAGTTTGCTTACATTATTGTCCCTCCAAAAATGCTGCAAGAGAACACAGGTAAGAGGGAAAAAATCATCGTGGAAGTCAAACTACAAATCACTGAGAAGGGAGAATGAGATGTGAGCATGCTTGACCTAAGATACACATACAATCCAGTCTATATTAACAATTTTCGCTACTCTCAAAAGCAAGAAGAATAAGATTAAGGAGATTGATGCTTCAAAGAATGTCACAAGCATTTTTACACAATGGGCACATACTCTCAATGATACTGAAAGATTCTTTCTCGCATGGATCAATAAGAAGAAAATGCAAGGCAAGACACTATTAACAAAATCATAATTTATAAGAAGGTGACAGTAATTTTTGCCAACTTCATCAAGGAGACACCAGAATCAAAGAAGCATTCAAGGCAAGCTGGGGGTTTAAACATAAAGGCATCCAAGAACTTCACTGACGAATTCAAGTAGCTTGAGAATTCTAAAGATTATCTCTCGCAGTAGGTTTTTAATTGTGAAGAGGTAAGTCTCCTCTGGAGAAAAATGCTGACACTAACTTATATTGCAGCACAGGAGAAGACCTTGCTGACCCTAAGACAATGAAAAATCATCTCCATCGTTTTGTGCAAATGCATGTGACAATTTGAAAATTAAACTGCTGCTTGTTTACCATTTCAGACAATCCACAACTCTGCAAGGAGTATAAAGTCCAAAACAACAAGCTAAATATCATGTGGAGAGCCAACAACAAGGGCTTCGGTGACATACTTGCAAATTAGATTAATAAAGTGTTTAGTCTGTCTGTTAAAAAAAAAAAAAATTACCTACTTGTGACGAATTTGCCACTTTGTGCCTTGCTTATTATGTACAATGCTTCATTACATCCTTCAGGATTACAAGACGATATCCTTAAGGAATTTAAATTCAACATCAAAGTCCTTCTTCCCAACATCACTTCAACATTACAGCCCATGCAGCAAATAATTTCACAGCTTATTACAGCAGATAATTTCAAATTTTAAAAAGCTATATGCAAAATCACTCATCCACATTGTTTTAAGGTAACTAAAGGAACCAATCTCACTGTCAAACACAACAATGAGGGGTCTGAGGAAGTTTTTGTAGGACTTGTAAGCAACAAAATTGGATCCCAGGCCAAGATTATGGGGGGCTAGAGTTGAAAAGCAATGACAACGATGAACTAAAGGAAAAACACAGGCAGAAACTGAACACTAAAGAGCATATGCAACTGCTTTCTATGCCACAGCAAAAAGTTGTAGAGGAAATTTAGGCCCATATCACACGACGTTTGTTTCACTCGAACAACTGTTTCGGACAATTTTTTTCACTAGTTTTCTATTGATAGAAAGACTTGAGACTTTTTCCTTCCTTTCCAAAAAAAATTGCAAGTTGTTCATTTTCAAACAATCAGCTATCAGCTTGTTTGTAATGGGGAACCAGTTTCCCCTGTGATAACCCCAAAGCGATCTATGGTGATAGGCTATTGTGACAAAGCAGAAAAATTGTTACAAGCAGTTGTTCTTCCAAAACAAAACGCCGTGTGATAGCAGCCTAACATAAAGGATGGAGGAAGAATTTGTGGAAGGGCTGCTAAAAGCCGTCCTAAACAACTTTCCAGTAAAATAAGGGAGATGTCGAAAGTAATCGACACTGTTGTATCATATGTTGAAAAGCATCACCCTAATAAAGCTGTAACTAGGTGTGCTACAAATTTACAAATTTATTTAACAATAATGCTGCATCTCCTTTTTGACAAACTTTGAACCAAAGGTAAAAACTTATGTCTTTAGACAACTTTCTAGTAAAAAAGAATGCATTATGAATAAATTACATTATTAAAAATTTGTCTGAATACAGTTTTCTAGAATGAAATGCATTAACCTACTCCACATTGATTCCTAAGGAAAAAAAACTGCTTCTCTTAAAAAGTATTTTGCATTATGAGTCAGATTCCAGAAAAAATTATGCTCGTTAAAAAAGGTTCCACTGTACTCATAAGTTCTGATCTGTAATTCACAACTTAAACACAAAATACAACTACTTATATGAATGACAAAGTATTATAGTCCTATCTGATTACTTATAAATGTATTCTTAGTATAAGTAAAAATAGCAAATCACCAAAAAATATGCTGAGATATACAAATAAGGCTTTCTCAGAATTGAAAGAGCTCAGTCATCCTGCATAATAAACCACTGTTCGCATGCTTTTTGTTCACTGGTAAGTGAAGTTTTATTAATTGTCTGGTAAATTATTTGTTAAGAACCTGATATCCCCCTACTACTGTACTTCCATTGTAATATTTAATGAAAAATGTTTTCTGTCATTTAACTTTAGAATTTCATACGATCTAATTTAGGTAACATACAGTACAATTTCACAGTACAAATAACACTTTTAAACAGTGTTTTAGACTTCTATGGAAGTGAAAACAAACATTTTATTAAACAATCTATTTTAACCTCACTTTTTTTTGGTTTCTGTACTTAGTTTTATACTTTATGTGTGTATGTATGCAAATTCTCTCTGCTCGATTGTCTCGGGCTGAGAGATAATTATACAGACAGTCAAGTTTCTTACAGTCCAGTTGTCTAATATCGCATTATGCTTTCAAATGAACTGTGATACTTTGAGATATCTGTCAGAGATTACAATGGAATAAACAATTGAGAGTTTCACATTTTTCCCTTAATGGAACTTACGTGAACTGAAGGCTTCTTTTCAGACAATTTTTGACTAGCACATGTCCTTACCAATACACCTAGACAGAGAAGCATCAAAAACAGAGTTTGCTCCATTATGATGACAGATATACATCTTGGTAACTCAGTCTTAATAACAGAAATCAATTTGCAAATATCAAGGAATCTAGGTTGCTGGATCTGTATACAGTACAAAGTTCGTAATCCGGATTCATCGGGACTTCGGCGATTCCGGATTATGGATCATTAATTTAAATCTGGTAAGATGGCATGCAGAAACTATACAATTAAAAATATGAAATCATAATTTATGAAATAAAGAGCAATTATGATCTAAAGGTATCAAAATTTATAAAAAAAACTAAATATTTATTTGTTTACTTTATTAAGCATTCCTTCCAATGTAAGTTGTTTAACTTGCTTAGTTTTTTGTGCTAATACTTTCCCTTTAATTCTATAAACAGATATAATTTCTTGTTCAGTTACAAAGTTCCCTATTCAAGCCCTGTAATTACTGGGTTGAGAATATCAATTAACTTGTCAATCAAAATTTTTTCATTTTCTCTGTCACTTTCTTCACTATCGGAAGCACACATGGGTAAACGCTTTACATGCATGTGCAAGTTTGTAGCTTTGAGGTCCAGATTATAGATCATTCCGGGTAATGGACGTCTGGATTACGGACTTCATACTGTATATGTAGTTACACCCAAATCAAGAAGAAAATGACTGTAGTAGATTAAAGCTTATAAGCTTTTTAGATTAGCTAAGTTTTGTATACTACACTTTCTATCAAGCTTCATGAAAAAAATTTACATACTAAAATATCTAAAACTATATTACCTTTTAAAAAATGGAGACGGCTTTAGCACATGATAATCTAAAAATTAGAAACATAAATTATAGGTAGTTTAATGTCGCAATAAAATAAAATATTAAATTTAAGACAATAACAAAATTACTTACCAACGAAATCCTGAGTAATTGACAAACCCTTTAGACTTTTTCCACAAGGTACACATATTAACCACAAGTTCCTTTGCAACTCTTTGAATTTATCAACAAATTTTGTCTGTCAAAAGAAATCTGAAATGTACTACATCTTTTATACCAACAATATGTAAATACAGTGAAAATTTCCATTCATCTTCATAAATGGTAATACAGCGACCTACAGCTCTAATGTTAATAAAAAGACCATATCTTAAAGAGTGAGACCAGCAGCAGGGTCCCCAACTGGCAAAATTCAAAATTTAGTGATTCTATCTAAACAAAATATAAGAGATACATGAAACATACTGAATACAAAGTTGGGTTAGAATATATTCAAGGGTGCCCCTTATATTATCACCAAGTTGTTGTTTCATTTATCGTCAAATTGTTGTTTCGTTTATGATAACCTGAGTAGTTGAATGTTATGGAAACTCTAATATGATGTAATTGGTTGCAAGATTGTGTTTAATTCGAATGATGGGAAAAGATTTGTAAAGGCTTGTTTGTACATTGGATGTTGGTTAGGAAGTACATTGTTATTTTGTGGTTTACATTGTAAAATTGCTGAATGTGGTAAAATTAATTTGAAGTTTCTGTGCAATTTGGAATGAAAGGTAAAAAAGCATTAATTAACTGGTGTGTAAATGAAGGTTTACTTAATAGCCATTATAAGTGTCCTGTTTGTATAGAGAAAATTCATGTGGTTAAACATCAAAGGATACCGTCACACGGGATATTTTTTGGTGAAAATTTGCAGTTTTGGGCATTACATGGACACAAGAGTTTATGCAATTCTTTGACTTGTTATTTTGGCAATTTTTGCACCAGAATAACAAGTATTGCACAAATTTGATATCCATATACACACTGACCTACTTTCACTTAAAAAAATAGCAGAGGATTGCACAAATTTGGCATTGCACACTTCCTTGACTTGGTGTGTATATGCGATAACCTGTATTTCCCTTTTTTGACATATCACGTATATGCGATAATATGTATTTCCCTTTTTTATGTTATTGTCCACGTACACATCAATCTATTTTCACTTAAAAAGTCAAAAGAGTAGCCCAAAAAAATATATAATTCCAATAAACTACATTTTAAATAAAATAACATAAAAAATGTAATTCATCTTAGCACTACACAAAGGAAATATCCACTTACCTTATTTAGAAATTTCCATATCTCTTCAGTCAAACAAAATTCCTTGACAGCATCCAAAAACTTCCTAAAATTATCTGAACTAGAATTTGAATACTGTGTATACTGGCATCACCACATAAATACATAAAAATAAAGAGTAGAAAATAGGTTAGAGTAGACTGAAGGGTACCCTTTGTATTAACGCGAAGTTGTTGTATCGTTTATCGCCAAGTAGTTGTTTCATTTATGGTAACCTGAGTAGTTGAATGTTCCGTAAATACACTTTTACCTAGAATTGGGTGCTCTTTTGACTTTTTAAGTGAAAATATATCAATGTATACATGCAAGAAATTTTTACTCCATGGATTATTACTTGAGCAATCTACGAAATCTTACAGAGTGCTAAATACAAATGGGGACAGGAAGGTCAGGGTCAATGTCATATGTTGTAATCAGCACCTATAGAAATTAAACAAATGCCAGAAGAGATGCAGGAAGAAGCAAGAACTCTGTAATTGAAAAAAGTAAAAGGTAAAAGTCGTACTAATTTATTTTAAGTCAGAAGAAAAAATTTGGTCATAAAGTGTGTTCAGAGTTACAGCAGAAGTGAACATGAATTAAATGTAGGTAAAAATTTCAGAGGCTAGTACTTTTAAAGGTTAATCTTCGGATTATGGTAACATGGCGATTTTTTGGCGAAAATTTGGCGACCAACCCTGCTACAGCAACCTGCTAGTTTTTTCTTTTTTTTTTATGCCATTTTGTTTTCACGAAGTAAAGGCATTTTTTTTCCAACAATCTGCTAGCCAAATCACGCTTATGCTAGAACTTTTATGGAACAAAAGTGCTTAATCATGACGAAGATTAGGTGCGAAATTGGGAGAAAGTGCAAAATCGCCCACTGCTTGCCACGTTTTTAAGAATTGCACATACATGGTATCCATGTACACGTCGACCTATTTTCACTTAAAAAAAATCATCCCAGAATTGCACAAAAATGGCATTGCGCACGCTCTTGACTTTATCCATGTACACTGCTAAAGTCCTAGCTAGTAACCTTTATCGCCTTACCAAAATGTCGCCAAACTACCTGTTACCATATTACAAAGATTAGCCCTTTTAAAGAACAGCAGAACAATTTCAGCTTACACAGCATTGGTAACAGGTAAGGCGATGGAATGTTTTTTTAAGTGAAAATAGGTTGACGTGTACATGGACGATACCGTGTATGTGCAATTCTTAAAAATGCGGCAAGCAGTGGGTGATTCTGCACTTTCTCCCAATTTCGCACCTAACCTTCGTCATGATTAGGCACTTTTGTTCCATAAAACTTCTAGCATAAGCGTAATTCGGCCAGCAGCTGGAAAAAAATGTTGAGTTAAAAAAAATGCCTTTACTTCGTGAAAACAAAATGGCATCCAAAACAAAACTAGCAGGTTGCTGTAGCAGGGTTGGTCGCCAAAAAATCGCCAAGTTAATCTGAAGATTAACCTTTATTTTATTCACATTTCATCCCCAAATATTTAGAAAATATTTTTAATTTAAATAAAACTTTTACACAATTTCTATTTTTAATTATAGCAAAATACATATACATTAAATTTAAACCACACAATATAATTTATAAAATCACAATACTAGCTTGGGAAGCATGTGTGTTGAGGCCAGAGAAAAATCTCTGGAAAAGAAAGATCTTTTTACTGGACAAGTACATGTATTGTTTAGTAATAAAATAACTCTGTGTTTTCAAAGTCCCTTATCTATATCCCGGTAAAAATAAACATTCCTATTTGAAAAGCAGCAAACGCCATTTTGAAGAGCAGTGGTTTCAAAGTGCGACCACTGAGCCGCTAGAGGATTGTGAGCACTGCGACACAATGCTCTAGTGGCTCAGTGGTCACGCCCTGAAACCACAAAGCAAATACCATAAATATAGATAGGTTTTGTATATATGCAGTTTAATTATTGCTATTTTTTTTTATTGTTTATGATAGAAATCATGATGTGTGATGAATAACTTTAGAAATTTAAAGTTTATATTAATAAAAGGAAGTTATTTTGTCTCATTGAAAACAAATTTTAAAAGGCATCCAATTTAAAGTATAAAGACCTATGTATGATTCTGCAGTCATTTTGTGTTATTTAGAGGCAAAAGATCAGTAATCGATTGATATTCACTCAAAAATTTCAGAAACAAGAGGAGGAAAAAATTCAAAAATTGATGGTTTCAGGGCGCACGTCAAAGTGTTAATGTATGGAAGGGAGGTTAAAAGATGGCATACAGCGAGCCGAAAGCCTCTCGAAAGGTTTGCACTACAGAAAGAAGAATGGGAGAACTTTGGACCACTCTCCAGAAGCTTATGGTAGCATTAAAGTCATTGCTGGCAGGAGAAATTCCAGTACCTATAAAATTAGGTAAAAGACCAGTTGTATATCTACAGAAGCTAAAATAAAGAAGGCATTCATGATAGCAAAAATGAAGCAAGACACATACATAAAATATGCTAATCAAAGGGTGATACATAAAGAATTCAGACTGGGGGATCTAAAGTATCTGTCACTTCCAGATTATAGTAATAAATTATATACTAGATAGACAGGACCCAAAAAGATAGTAGTTCACTGTAATCTAGATTCCTATAGAGTTGAAATTGATAGATGGGACTATAAAGAGGATTTATATAAATAAATTGAGGAAATTTAATCTAAAGAAACAGACGGCATGATATTTCAGAAATGAAAGAATACAAAAATGAAAATTATTTGATTTATCATTCATGCTATTGTGATTAATAGCATGAATGATAAATCAAATAATTTTCATTTTTGCGAGGTAGACGTAAGTCAGAATATGACATAAGAAAAGATACCATGAATTTGCTGAGAAAAAATGAAAACTTATTTAAAAATAAAGCACAAATTACCAAAGTGGGTGAGTATAAAAATAAGATCAAATTACAGTAAACAAAAGAAACCATACCTTTATTGAACACCTGAGGCATTAAAGCTCCAAGTAGATAAATAGATCAAGGAAATGTTAATGCTGGGATTGATTAAAGAAATAATTGTGGAAATTTCATACCCTCCTGTACGTGTCTTAAAAAAAGACAGTACTCTTCATGTATGCATAGACTTTAGATTCCTACAAAACCAGCCAACTTCCCTACAGAAAAACACCAAAGAATTGTTTTCATATTGGGAAAGTCAATGTGGTATCTACCATCGATCTACTAAAGGGTGATCTTAGAGAGGTAAAACTAAGAGTTAGGATGTGTCAAGATGCATTCAGCCCAGTATCAGTTTAAAGTCAACACCACAATGATGTGGTGCAACGATGCTTGAAATTTTATAAATTTATTCACACTACACTTTCATATTTCAGACATGTAAGTTATATTACACATATATCGTTTTCTCATACATTTAAATTTTATATTACATCACAATAACTTTCAAACAAATAAAATACACAAGAGAAAATCTATTCTCGCTAAGTGCTATTATGATACTTTAATCTGTTCCCCAGTTTTAACCTCTGAGTAAACACTTTTAAATTCCCAATTATTTTCAGAGGCAACTGCTTACATACAAGCGTCTTGCCGTTAAAATCATAGAGATCACAAATAACAAAATTCCAGCATAATTTAAATGTTCATTACAATTCCCATCGGGGAAAGTGCAGAATTCCCAACACTTGAAACCTAAAAATTAGGTACAATTAAATTTAGTAACAAAGTAATAGTAATATCTGCGATTTCAGCACTTAAAAATATGCTTTTCGCACATTTACTTAAACAATTATAGAGTTTAAATTATATTGAAAATATATTGAATTCAATTGAAAACCAAGGCTTTCAATAACTACACAACGGTCATGTAAAATGAAAATAATTTCATGAAAATTCTTGAGCAAACAAACTGTGAGCATTTTCCTCACATAGCTATATACTTATGAATATGGAAAAAGAGAATTTACCTGTAACTCATTAAAAAACGGGTTAGCTTCCAAATCGTCAAACATGAGCGCCATTAAATATTTATATTAATGAAATACTTGTAATTATACTGAATTACCTACGTTATATAAAACCAAAGAGAATAAGTTATTTTCCTTTTTTTAATAATGACCATGTTAAATCCCAATTCGATTGCACAGTTAATAGGAAAAAATTAACGCACAAAACTGCATTACAAAACTAATTTCCAACGAAGAAGAATCCTGTTGCCGTTCTTCTAAAGCGTAATCTAATTAAATTAAACCCCAAATCAGCTGCAAAGCCATAGGAGATTGCAAATTGAAACTAGCAAAGGATGTTTTCAACATAACCCAATACATCTATTTTTACGCATCCGGCCAGGGCCTAACCGATGAACTACTTAATTTACCTATTGCGCCCAAATATGCTTTACTTTCATCTTCCTATTATTCGGTGGCAGATTAACAGTATTGCGATTTAACTCGGCCAAGACCAACTATTCAAACAACTAAACTATGTGTATCCGGTCGTGAAAAAGACTCTGGAATGATGGAGAAATTCCTATTCCTAATCATCACTATAAAGCAAAACTGTGTGCCGGAAAAAAGAAAAAGAAAAAAATAATAATAAATAAAGGCGCTGAACAACAGCAGTAGATGATTCACAGCACTTCGATATCCTTTTTTATCCACTGCTGTCCATAATCCAAAATGTGTAAATTGTACAATTAAAAAAAAGAAATAATAAAATATTTTACTCTAATGTGAACCTACTGATATAGACCAAATTTTGAAGACAACATTATTCTGCAACACCGTTTATAACTTGGTATTACAGTCGTTTCGTTAAAAATTTATACCTATAGTCAGGATCTATGCTAGAATTTTTGTTGTCGAGTGCAATCTCTGCTGCTCCTAACCAGGGCCGCGCCAAGTCTAATCGACGCCGTCGTGCAAATGTCTAGCGCGCGCCTTTATGTAGTGACAATATTTAAGGGACAGTGCTTACGGTTACTATTTAAAATGAAGCATTATTAACATAATAATATGAAAAACCAAAAGAGCATTACATTTTATCTTTTGTGTAAACAAGAAAACATTTTGTGCTTTGTTAAAACCCACACTCAAACAAATCTATTGCAGAATCATACATACATTTATGTTATAAAAAAACCCTAACCGGTATAGTGGTTAGCGTTACAGACTGCCGTGCCAAAGAGCCCGGGTTCGAATCCCGCAAAAGACATGTTTATAAATGTATAGTGTCCGTGCGGCATAGGGAACTCTAAATATGCGAGGCGAAACTCCTCTCGAAAGGTTGGTGGTAGGGAAAGAGGGATGGGAGACGCTTGGGTCCCCCCCCAAGATGCTCTCCATCAAAATTCGGGGCGAAACTGAGCAAAATCGCACTGTCACCTGTAAGGTGCTCAAGGCCGTTGCTAACGACAGGCGTACCTTGCGCTCCTTTCCACGAGGAATTTCATGGGCTTGGGCTGACTATAGGTCAGACAAGTGAGCATTAGTCAACAACAAGAACATGCTATAAAAACGTAACTGTGCAAGGGAAGCGAAATAATATACTAACCGCATTGGATACCAAATATATTGCTGAACACTATTTATTATCTTAAAATTAAAAACAAATTAATATGCATATCTAATAAGTTTGCACTGAATGTTTCGCAGCGTAGTTTACGACAAGGTTCAAACTGTGATTACAACAGGGCATGATTACAACAAGGCACAGAAAATGTTCTAGGGCTGATATCTAGGGATGTATCCAAAATTCTTTTCTGCACACCGCTATGTTGTTGACAACGATATAGCGTAGTTTCAACCGACGATACTACATTTCCTCCAAAAGTATGCAACAATTGCATTAATTTACAATTTTGATTTATACTATTTATATCGCTTTGATTTTTTTATCAGTTAATGCTTTTTGCAGTTTTTGATATAAGTTGAACTGATCTTGTAAATATATGTAAACAAAAATACTTCATGCCGACGCTTATGTAAGGGAACAGGGAGCGCCGTAGAGGAGTTCCACGTATTACTCAGTCCTTATTTTGTGTCTAATGTTGTAATCGTAGTAATTTGTGCAACATTTACCTTTTTTGTGATTTTTGTTTTGGTGGTTGCTTGTTGTTATTGATATCCCTACATAAAAAAAAGGTATGGGCAGTTACATATTATGTTAAACTTAGGTTAATCAATATCACTTTTTATTTCAGAAACGCGACGATTTGAGCATAATTACTCAAAAAATAATTTTTACAGTTTTAAAGGTTCTTAGATGCATCAACTGGCGTATAATTATAGATGGCGTATATTGAAGAAAATGATCATGAATGTTTAGCTTATATGATAATGATTGTCAGAAAGTGATGTTGATTATGAAAATGAAAGTAAGAATAACATAAATTGCTTTATTGGAAGAGCATTATCGGGAACGATAAAAAAAATAAAGATTTTGCCCACTGAAAACGCACACAAAAACGAAAATGTACTGGGCAGAAAGTGAATAATATTTCTATGCGGAACACACAACACTTTGTACAAAGTGCTGCTAACACTTGTTGCATTTTTTCTCGGTGTCTATAGTGCTAATAAAGAAAGTAAAGAATCGATGCTGCATAAATAACAGAGCTAATAAAGGAAATAAAGAATCGTCACACAGATAAAGTATTTTTAATATGTAATATAAATTTCTATTTTTTTAAGAAATTTTATTTCATAAAAGCATTTTCAGAAATTAAAAATTTTAATAAGTATAATTTTTCATGTTTGATCCAAAAATTTACTATTGGCACAGATGTAACACGTTTTTTTAAAGATTTACAACTTTTTCTTCAAAAACCCTGAATCGGGTCTTTTTGGATGAGTGCGCGCGCTCGTGTAACTCATATGAGCGCTCGCGCTTGCGGTTTAACATAATATGTAACTGCACTTACCTTTATTTTATTTAGAAAAACAATAACAACAAACAATCACAAAAAAGATAAATGTTGCACAAATTACTACGATTGCAAAAGCAGACACAAAATAAGGATCAAGCAATTTGTCGAATGCGTCTATCCTTACATACGCATCGGCATCAAGTATTTTCACGTTGAAATAAGACAAAAGAGAGCACCAGAGACGAATTCTTGCCCTAGTCATAACTTTCGGTCAAGTCAGACAGTGTACTAGGAGGAAGAGGCGCTCAGATTTAACAAGTTCGAGGTCGCCTTAACACAGTTAAACGCCTCAAACACTTAGAGGCGATCCAAGAAGCCCCTAACCTATCGACCGAGCCGATGAGATAAGTCTAAGCTGAGTCAACAGGAATACTCAGCAACTCACGTTCCCGTTCTGGAGGGATGGTGAAAACATCTGCCATCCAAAGGGACCCCAACCTCGGGCAGGAGAACAAAGTGACTTAAACACTGTCAGATAGACTGGATCACTAATCCGCCCTGCTAACTTTACATCATGGTATACAGATGTCGGCTTTAGGCGCCCCAAGGTGGAAACCAAGGAAGGATATAAATATGCAGTTTTGAGGCTCCAGGGGCCCACTGAAAACCTCAAGCAGTTTAAAGGTTCGCTGAATTCGCCAACTCCATTGACGGAGGTGATTCGTCCCGGACAACCATGACTACGTGACTATATAGCTCCACCGCAACCAACGGAAGCGACAAAACAGTACCATACGGTCCCTGTCGAGCGTGAAACAGTCATCGCCAGCCATGACTCCAGTCCTGTGGAGACTGATTTTAAACACCCGTGGCCGAGACTGCCTAGGTACAGATCCTAATAAATTGCTTCCCAGGTTTTACTTAAGTCGACCACCGGAGACTCGGCGCCGTCGTTTTTGACTCGGCGCCGTCGTTCGCTGCACGACCTTGCACTTATTGTCGGCGCGGGCCAGCTCCTAACTTCTGCCGCTTAGTACCTATTTTGTCATCCTTAAATTTTGCCCCTCGGTGCGTTCGCCCTACTTACAGCAACTCTTACACAGAGCCGAGGCACACAGGATCATGGATCAAGGAAGAGTTCAATTACGAGGCTCATAGGCTCAATGCCTTTATCCCACATCATGAAAGATTAAATAATTACCATCAAACTACCACTGAGGCAGTGCGTTGAGAAATTTACTTATTTCCTGCTTTTCCAGCCTTCAAAAGTGTGGCAGAACCTTTCAGAAAGAATTTCAGATCGGCCATTTTGCTCCTTTTATTATAATAAAGCTTTTGTTTTTCTAGAGTGCCTAGCAGGTACGGTGATTACTAACTCTGACTGCCGTACCGATGGGCTCAGTTTCGAATCCCGGTGCAGACAGGGATGTTAGTAAGCATCTGTACTGCAAGAGGACATTCATTACCGCATATGCTGAGGCCTTATGTCGTCCTACAAAAGTACCAGATCTGATTTCCTAATGGGAATTAATTGGGGGACTTGATGATAACTGTGTAATTCCAGAACATATTCTTTAGACCACCGGTTTTCAACCTTTCGACTAACGCGTCCCATCTAATAAAAAATTGGAAACTTTTAGTACCACCACTACATTTAACAATGATTATTTTTCAATTTCTCGATATTAAATATGCACTCATAAAAAATTGGTTACCATTTTAATTACCAAAATCTAAGTTATTATACTAAAATTTAGTGTGAAATTTGGGTCTGTTTCAGAGATACCAATTTCTTAATGTCTGGTCTTATTTCACTTAGTTTTAACCGTAAATTAGGATCAACTTTTAATTTTTTTTAATTTTTCAAATATAATAGGGAGAAAAATCCTTGTTTACACAAACAGGTTGAGCAAAATGGCAATAAAAATTTAATAGTTTTATTTGAAATGCTTTTAATTTTTTTTTCAGTTAAGCCAAAAGTTACACAAGTGTTTATTTTTTTAAAATCTTCAGTTAAAGTTTGATCACAGGAAATTTCTATGAATTGTTCTTTTTCTTCACGAGATAAAATTTAAGGTTTATTTGAATAAAATGGTATTTTAATTCAATTTTCTTTTTCGTAATCCTCGGGAAAATACACGCTGAAATTGTTTAACAATGAAAAATAACAATTTTTAATGTGGGATGCTAATTCTTCTTTTATTTTTAAATTATTTTCGGTTAGGAAACTTTTTAAAAGAGGTAAAAAGCTGAAAATATTATTATTATCCAATTCTTTGATTATTAGCTCGAGTATTTTTATCGTTGCATTTATTTTATCAGTAATGGTAAATAAATTAACACTTTTTCCTTGT